TCTGACTCATTTAGGATCTTGGAGAAGGAAACAACAACAAGAACCCAAAAAAAAAAGAAAAAAATGTCTTTCACAGGAACTCTGGACAAATGCAATGCTTGCGAGAAGACAGTCTATGTGGTGGACATGTTGTCCATTGAAGGAATGCCTTACCACAAGTCTTGCTTCAGATGCACCCATTGCAATGGAACTCTTCAGGTGTACATTAATTACGATCCTTCCTTATTTTCTTGTTAGATTTTGTGTTAATATCAATAATTCTGGAAACTCTTGATGATGGCAGATGAGCAACTATTCCTCAATGGACGGAGTCTTGTACTGCAAGACTCATTTTGAGCAACTCTTCAAGGAATCTGGCAATTTCAACAAAAATTTCCAACCAGGAAAAACTGAGAAGCCCGAGTTGGTACGTTCATCATTTCTCTCTAGCTCTCGTTGTATAATGAGCCTAGCATTTATTTTATTTCTCCCTCTGTAATGATTGATCAATAATGTGTATTTGTCTGTATTGATTCATCATTAATCACAGACCAAGACTCCTAGCAAGATATCTTCCATGTTCTGTGGAACACAAGACAAGTGTGCTGCTTGTGAAAAAACTGTTTATCCTCTTGAAAAGGTTAGTATTATTATTTGCAATTTCTAATGTTCTTGATCTAAAAACGAGAAAATCTAAAGAAACCTCGGACTTATCAACACTGTCTATGGTCTGGTTCGATTAAGTTCGGTTCGGTTTATATTTACATGTCGTTTTGTTTGTTATAAAAAAAGGTGCAAATGGAAGGAGAATGTTTCCACAAGACATGTTTCCGGTGTGCTCACGGTGGCTGCACCCTCACTCACTCCTCTTACGCCTCTTTAGACGGCGTTCTGTATTGTCGGCATCACTTTAACCAACTTTTCATGGAGAAAGGAAACTACGCTCATGTCCTTCAAGCTGCCAACCACCGTCGCACCGCCTCAGGCAATCCTATTCCGCCGGAAACCACCGAAGAGGTCGCCGTTGAAGCTAAAGAAGAGAACAGAGTTTCACAGTCGACTTGACATATCTCTCTTCTTTGGTGAGTTGTGGCTTGTGAGTGATTGAATGTTGCGGAGAAAGATTTGATTTCATCATTTGTAATGAGTTGTTTCCATATGAAGACATTATTATTTTTTTTGTTCCTTGATTTTGATTCGTTCGTTATACATTTATTTTATTTAATTATAAGACACCAAGAAAGCCAAAATTTGATTTTCCACTGTCTGATTTATGACATGCTTGCTGATGAAAATGGAGCTTACTCTTGCGAAAATGTCATTTTGTAATCTTGATTTTTAGAACTCATTTATTTATTTGTAATATGATCCATATGGAAAGAATTGAATCATGTCATTTTAGATGATGATACAATGTTGTAATGCAATTTGTCCATGTGGAAAGAATATGCGTTTCATGTGAAAGAATGTCTGTTCGGTTCAAAAGAGTACTGAATCGAACCGGATCAAACCAAGTGGTTATGGGATGATATGAATCATACGTATGAGGGGGGGTGTTTTCGTCAATCTCATCATTACCACCATCATGTCTGGTTGGAGAGAAACTTTAACCGGAAAATTTGAAGAGACGGGAAATATCTGTTGAAACGGCTCTGAATAAGTTCTCAGACGACCCAATTTGATCGCTTCTCAGCTTGTTAAATTCGGTTTCCACCATTTTTCCATGATTGGTTAG